CCATAGAATGCGCTGCACACATCTGAATATTTGGGTTAAACTGTTCTGGAACAGTGTTGCAAATACAACAACTTCTAGTCGTGTCCTCTTTTGGGAGGCCAAACAAAGTAGTTTCACTTTCACAACGAAACAGCGTCACATACCGCGGCCTTGAGTGAGCGGAGGTCTAGAGTGAGCCGCGGCCGGCTTGAGTGAGCAGAGGCCGGGGGCTAGAGTGAGGAACGGCCGACTTGAGTGAGCAGAGGCCGGGGGCTAGAGTGAGGAACGGCCGACTTGAGTGAGCAGAGGTGGGCGGGGTCTACGAAGGAGCGTCCGGCGGGCTTGCGGCAACCACATGTGATGACCCCGGGCTGGACTCCACTTCGTCCACGGTGAAAGCCGATCCGGCGATCGACAGCGCGAAGCTGATGTATTTCTTCAGCGACCAGCACGGATCAGCTCCAGGCATGACGAAGCGGATATGGAAGGCCAACCAAAGCAGTTTCGCTTTCACAACGAAACACAGCGCCTTCACAACATGGCAGCGGCGGCAACAATACTACAGCGAGAATAAAAGTTACACCTTCTTTCTTTGCATGAACATTTGGGCGGCGTTATGCAAATCTTCCCACACAGTGACGTAGACATGTGGGGGCGTGTTAGAACGAGCCGTTTTAGGTAGGTGTGGTTGACTCTTAACTTTTATAAAGAATATCTCTTTGGTTTTGAGACTTTAGTCTTTGCAACTTTACAGATCTTCTTTATGCACCAAGCGCTTGTAACACTCCAAAGAGAAAGGAAAAATTGAAATCGCATCATATGACCCCTTTAATAAAAAAAAAACTCCATCAAAATGCTTTGTGATGCAGTTGTAGTCAAAATCTTCCTATTAAACTATACCAAAGGTTTCCGTACCTCAAAGAACTCAAAGGTGAGCTCTAGGTTGTCGGGGTCCATGGTGTGAATACTGTATTCGGTCCACTGGGAGGGTTCAAGGGCGTATCCACATTCTGGCTGGGAATGACGAGACTTATAATCGCTGTCACTGATCATACTGGTCTCCAGCGTAGTGGTCATCTTATGCAATGATGAAGGGCTTTCCTCTTCATCCTCCTCAAAACCTTCAAGCATCAGCTTCAATCTAAGGCAGCCATTGATTGGATGAATTATATTTTATTATTTTCTTTCAAATCGGCCATCAAAACAGTATAAAGTGAATTTGAAAAGACAAATACATGTTTAGTACGTGGTCTAGAAGAAAATATAGTGTTTGAATTGGAAAAATAAGCACTACTAAACTGCTTGCAATATTTTGCATCCCTACCATTAATTAACAGATCAATTTGACTACTAATTGTTTTTTCAGGTGATTCTAACGGATTTCTAATGACCTTTATGAATAAATGTGACTGACTGACCTTGAAGTTTTCTAGGAGTTAAATATGTATTCTGTGAAGGATATTACCTGAAGCGTGATTTCTTAAATTGTTTCTTAGTAATAGATACTGGAGGTTTCACAGAGTAATGAAGCCTGAGACGAATTTCTGTCTGGCACGTCAACCAGCCAGAGTCCACACACTCAACACCACCTGCAGATCAAACAAATTGTATTTGCATAATTGTATAATGTTTTGTTTTACATTAAAACTAAAGTTTATTTGTTTAAATGATCAAACTTACTATGGATTCCAAAATGTCCATCGTCAATCACAAGCTCTGGTTCTGCAAGACATAACTAAATTTAATATGGAAAGTCAACTGCTCCTGTTACACATCTACAGTTATATATAAGTTGAGAGGTACCAGTACAGAGCAAACTGACACCAACACATTTTCCAGTGCTGGCATGAGACATTCATTTTCTGGTTTGTTTCTTAAACAATCAAAATATACAGATAAAAGAAGTACATACAGTTTATACAGTTTGCTCTGTAATGCCTGGTGCTCTAAACGTTTGTAGCCTGTATTTGATACAAGCAAAAACTGGCCATGTTAGAATTTGAGTGTAACACTAGAGATAATTATAAAAGGATTATTAATTGGTTGCCAAAAGGTAACAATAATCTAAATGCATAATTCGGCAAGTGTTACCATGCAAGCAAATTGTTTTGTGGCAACACAAGCATAAAGAAATGCTGACAAACTTTTAAGGAACATAACACATAACATCTGGAGTAAACAGTTACATGATTAAAATGATGGACCCTGCCTAGTAAAAACAAACAAAAAAAAATATAGATGTCATTAAAATATATTGTTTTGCATAGTTTGTTAAATGCATGCGTGTTAAATGTCCGTTGTGCATGTAAATGAAGAAGCGTTAAATACATGTGTGCTTTACAATACAGTTTAATGTAGTTTGTAATATAAAAATCAACTCAAGACAATTAAAGCAATTATTTAACAAAAATAAATAAATTTCAAAGAAAAAAATGCATTGTGCTTGTAAATAAAAGAGCATTTAATACAACCTTTACATGGTTTAAATATAAAAATGAACTCAAAATAATAAAAAAATGTGTGTTGTGCATGTAAATAATGGAGTGTTAAATGCATGTGTGCTTTAAAATCTAATTTTTTCAAATGTAGTTTCTAATGTAAAAATCAACAATTAACGCAATTATTAAATAAAACAAAAACTTTTTTTTTTTAATAATTAAACTAAAAAATATAAAGTGGCTAAGGTAGGGGAAGGCAAAAGAAAAAAAGCATTGCTTGTAAACCCAAGAATGCACCAGTGAAAACTGCTTCGCTCTGTTTGTCTGAGGAGTAATAGTCCACTAAATGTTATGATTTCTAATAATGTAAGCTCCGCCCCTCACTTCCGGTTCTGTGACTGCGGTTCTGTGGCTGTGGTTCTGAAACTGCTGTGCTGCGGGTCTGCAGCTGGATACTATTGGTTACTTGAGGGGGACAACTTGACTCCGCCTTCTCAATGTTTTCTGGACACATGTGATTGGTGGAAGAAATGATTGACGTTCGATGGGCGAGGCTTCTTCACTGACGTACGTGTTGGGTGGAGTTTATCTGCGCAAGCTGATGTAACAAAGTAACTAATATTAAAGGGGTCCTATTATGCTCTTTTACAAAGTCTTGATTTTGTTTTGGGGGTGTACTAGAACAGGCTCTCATACTAGGTTGTTCGAAAAACACATTATTTTTCACATATTTTACATTATTACAACACCTCTCTCCCCAGTCTGGCATGAACGGCTCAAATAGTTCCTGTATCAAATGAAGGCCCGCCTTCTGAAATACGAAATGTGCTGTGATTGGTTAGCTGGGCCAGTGTGTGTTGTGATTGGCAGCTCTCGGCGCCTGGTCGGGAAATGTCACGCCCCTTACCATAGCCGACTGCTAAAATATCTCCTTTTGAAGTGGACTTTGAGCTTTGTAACTTTGCAGATCTTTTTTATGCTCAAACAGCAACATTACAGACTAACTAAAGTTGAAAAAAGTGAAATAGCATAATAGGACCCCTTTAAATAAATTAATAAACAGCCATTTTTTTTATTTTTACCTCATGACAAGTCTAGATCCGCGATTTTAAGGATGGTAGGCTCTGCTTGTTAATTATATTAATGCGAGTTATAATACAGTGTTACTGCTATAGTATTTTTATATTGAGAGTATCCTTGCAGGAAAATAAATTCACTGCCATCCAATTGGGTGCATGGCCATTAAACTTGAAAGCACTGATACTTCTATAGCTCAGGTCAGAGGTCACCTCACAGTGTTTCCATATTTTAAGACTAATTAATTCCATAGCTGGTGAACTAATAAATAAATGAAGCAGATAAAGTTCATGTACTCAAAGAAACAAGGCAAGTGATATTAAAATTTAATAGTATATGTGTGTGTGAAATTGAAAACGTTAGAAAGGTCAGATGAACTTTGTAACCTGTAAAATGAGGATAACGGAGACATTGATTTTTCCAGTGGCTCGTCTTTCAGCAGAACTGGTTGCGTAATGACGTGCCTCAGCAGGACAGAACACAGTCTGGAACTCTGTGTTGCACAACAAAGGTCAGTCGGGCACGTATGCATGTTTAAGAAAAAGTTTATAGGAAAACAGTGATAGAGTGAGAAAGTTCAGAACAGCATGACATGAATTTGTGCAATGCAAAGATAAACAATTTCTTCAGTCATAAATTACTTTTGCTGTGTCCTTGATTTCTTTATGATGGATGTTTGCTGGCCCCGGTAGCTCTTCCTGTTCCTGCGTGAGCCATTGAATGGTAAAATACAATTGGTCTTTTGAAAAGAGGGCTATTGCTCCCAAAATGGTGAATGCTGGGTACTAGCACAACTGAACGGATGAGACCGCAGGATTATAAATATTTAATGAGTCAGTCTCTTTCTCTCCTTTACTATGTTTTCACCCTCCCACTATTTGCCCTGTGAATGAGAAAATAGACAGATAATGAATAAAGTGTGTGCCTAGAACCGGATTTAAATGGTGAATTAGTACAGTGCCAATTCCACCCCCAAACGCATACAAAAGAAAATAATTAGCTTTTCAGAATGCAATTAGTACAAATGATGTTTTTCTTGGTTTTTCTTGGTTATCTCATTTTCATGCATGTATTTTCAAGAAAGGAGAAGTAGTGAGAACTCTGGACAACTTTCATGTGCGATAAAGAACGCTGAGTTCTACTTTTCAACGTTTCAAGACTTCTTTTGGAAATATGCTGGAAAATGTGATTAAGGGGGTTTTCATTAAACTTGAAAGCACTGATACTTCTATAGCTCAGGTCAGAGGTCACCTCACAGTGTTTCCATATTTTAAGACTAATTAATTCCATAGCTGGTGAACTAATAAATAAATGAAGCAGATAAAGTTCATGTACTCAAAGAAACAAGGCAAGTGATATTAAAATTTAATAGTATATGTGTGTGTGAAATTGAAAACGTTAGAAAGGTCAGATGAACTTTGTAACCTGTAAAATGAGGATAACGGAGACATTGATTTTTCCAGTGGCTCGTCTTTCAGCAGAACTGGTTGCGTAATGACGTGCCTCAGCAGGACAGAACACAGTCTGGAACTCTGTGTTGCACAACAAAGGTCAGTCGGGCACGTATGCATGTTTAAGAAAAAGTTTATAGGAAAACAGTGATAGAGTGAGAAAGTTCAGAACAGCATGACATGAATTTGTGCAATGCAAAGATAAACAATTTCTTCAGTCATAAATTACTTTTGCTGTGTCCTTGATTTCTTTATGATGGATGTTTGCTGGCCCCGGTAGCTCTTCCTGTTCCTGCGTGAGCCATTGAATGGTAAAATACAATTGGTCTTTTGAAAAGAGGGCTATTGCTCCCAAAATGGTGAATGCTGGGTACTAGCACAACTGAACGGATGAGACCGCAGGATTATAAATATTTAATGAGTCAGTCTCTTTCTCTCCTTTACTATGTTTTCACCCTCCCACTATTTGCCCTGTGAATGAGAAAATAGACAGATAAAGAATAAAGTGTGTGCCTAGAACCGGATTTAAATGGTGAATTAGTACAGTGCCAATTCCACCCCCAAACGCATACAAAAGAAAATAATTAGCTTTTCAGAATGCAATTAGTACAAATTATGTTTTTCTTGGTTATTTTCATGCATGTATTTTCAAGAAAGGAGAAGTAGTGAGAACTCTGGACAACTTTCATGTGCGATAAAGAACGCTGAGTTCTACTTTTCAACGTTTCAAGACTTCTTTTGGAAATATGCTGGAAAATGTGATTAAGGGGGTTTTCTGTCTGAATAAGCCTTTTAATACCAAGAAACTTTTACAGAATAGTATACGTGTGAAATTGAAAAGGGTAGAAAGAGCAGATGAAACGATAACGGAGACATTGTTAAAACTTTTAATACAAAGAAACTTTCACAGAATTACATGTATATATATATATTTTTTGCCTCTATTCAAAAAGTAATATGAAGAATCGCAACATATTATTAAATATTTCTTTCTCTTTCAATTTGAACTATTAAAACTATAGAGAAGTAGTGAGAACTCTGGACAACTTTCATGTGCGATAAAGAACGCTGAGTTCTACTTTTCAACGTTTCAAGACTTCTTTTGGAAATATGCTGGAAAATGTGATTAAGGGGGTTTTCTGTCTGAATAAGCCTTTTAATACCAAGAAACTTTTACAGAATAGTATACGTGTGAAATTGAAAAGGGTAGAAAGAGCAGATGAAACGATAACGGAGACATTGTTAAAACTTTTAATACAAAGAAACTTTCACAGAATTACATGTATATATATATATTTTGCCTCTATTCAAAAAGTAATATGAAGAATCGCAACATATTATTAAATATTTCTTTCTCTTTCAATTTGAACTATTAAAACTATCATTTAAATTGTGTTGTTTTGTTTTTAAAAATTTAATTGGATTTGTATCCATTTATATAATAACTCTTTTTCACACATTAACATTTTATTATTATTTTTTATAGTTTTCTATTTTAACCAGTGCAAGATCTGTCTCTTATTTAAGTAATTATGGGCAATTCAATTGCAAGTAGTTAAATCTGGTGGGTGTTCATATTTTTCAAGAAATAGAAATACTTTGTGTTACATACACTATCCAGGGGTGTCCAAACTCGGTCCTGGAGGGCCGGTGTTCTGCAGAGTTTAACTCCAACCAGCTCCAAAACACCTGTCTGTAAGTTTCTAGTATGCCTAGTAAGAGCTTGATTAGCTGCTTCAGGTGTGTTTAATTGGGGTTGGATCTAAACTCTGCAGGACATCGGCCCTCCAAGACCGAGTTTGGGCACCCCTGCACTATACCTTTCAAAAGATTGGGGTCAGTAAGATTTTATTTTAAAGATATGAATACTTTTATTCAGCAAGGATGCATTCAGTTGCTTAAAAGTGACACTAAAGACTGCAGTAATGATGCTGAATTCAGCTTTTCATCCCAGGGATAAATTACATTTTAAAATATATTAAAATATGCAACAGTTATTTTAAATTGCAATAATATTTCACAATATTATACTGTATTTTCCCATCAAATATTTGCAGTCTTGGTGAACATAAACTATATTTACACGTTTCTAAGAGGTGGTTGTGGTTCTAGTATAATGAAAAAGTTGAAATCATATATAAAAGATTTCAGATTTTGGAAGGAACAGCTTCACCTAGTGGAGCGATGGGTATATGGAACTCAATTCATATGCTGCAGTGTAGCCTATCCATTTATGCATACGTTTGCAACAT